GATTTCCCTGGTGAGATGGAAGGCTGTTGTAGATCTGCTGTAACTCTCCCATAGAGCTAACATGGGACTTGTGGCACAAGTACAGTGGTTTCTAACGTTTTTTATCCTGGACATATTATTTCTTGGGACAGCAATTAGGGATATGTAATTTTTTCTTCTAGACATTTAGTAAAACTCAGTTGTCTTCGCTCTGTGATACTTGCTTTAAATTTAATGACTGTATGAAAATGTGTGTCTGTGTTACCAAAGAATACATGTGTATGTTGTGGCCATCAAAAGGAACGAGCTGATCTCTTCTCGTGTTGTCAGCCCGTCCCTGCTTCACCAAAGTGACATGAATTTACTGTCCTGTTCATCGCTGTTAGGGCTTAATTGCTTTCGTTCACTTACAAAATATAGTCGATGTGTGTCTCCTTCTGGCATTTTGTATCAATGCCACTTTCAAAAATAAATAAATATAGAGTATCTGGTGTATGTGTACGTAAATTGTGGACAGCATGAGCAATCACTTATGTTATATTCATAATCCCTGAGGCAGAAGAGAAGATCAAGTCAAGTATAGATTTACCGAAGGGATAAGTCACACAAAATCTGATCCTTGGGCATTCCTCTCCCCACTCTACACAAGACCTCCATTCATCACTGGAGTGCTTGTGACGTTCCCTCTCTATGACCTGCTCAGAAGTTTTCATGAAGTTGCACTTGTGCAGTTGTTGGCCTTCAGTTCTAACCAAAGTCTTAGAGATTTCCCTTTAAAAATCTTCTGGAGTGGGAAGACTCAAGCTCAAAATATTACTTAAAGTTAACAAATAAACAAAGAAAGTCTACCCAAAGCTAAAAGAGAAATTTTAGGTGAGAGATCCTTCTTCTTGGTGAGTATCCGGATCTCTGGTGTCAGGCACAGCTAGGATTTGAGACTGAGCACACAGCAATTTGGTGTTTTGTTTAGAACATTTGCTGTGTTGGGACTGTCCTGATTTTTATGAATTACAAAGAGAAATAGAATGCTGCATCTGCTGAATCATTTATTATAATGATATTTCAAGTCTTCTACTGTGGTCTATGCTAATAGCTTTGTACTCCACTCGTTGCTCTGCTTGTGCCAACGTCTGTGGTACATCCCGTACCTCTGGACCCATCACCTCTGTATGAATCACCCACTGCCTGGCACTTCTCTACAAGTTCACCTAATTTTGCTCACCAGTCTCTGCCAACAATTATGTCACATTTTGTCTGTGTGTTCTGCTGTCTGAACCTCATAAATAACTACTTGTGACACCACTGGTACCTCTAAATCCTGTGACTCCCAAATGTTTTGCTTATTCACTTTGCTGATTTATGGCCCTATCACGAGTGTCCAGTCAGACTGCAAAAAGGAATGGGCTCTTGCTCTGTCTCATCCAGACTGATTGATGGACAGACAAGATGAAGGGCAGATGTCCCATCCCATCAGGCTATCTATCTGGATTATTTTGGTATTTTTAAAATATTGTCAGTAGTCAAAGGCTTGCTCCTGCTCTGCATTCAAAGCCATGGAAGCTTTCCCACTGTCTCCAAAGGGGATGTCTCCACAGCTGAAAAGCAGACAGACTTCTGCCTGGTTTGAGAAATAGCCAAGTCTTGGTTACCTGAGCAAGTCTAACACATAACACTGATGTGTTCTGCTGAGGGGTGAGAGTGTTGAGCTACTTCCAGTGTTAACCCTCTTGTGCTGGGGATGTTGGTCAACAGCTTTTCACCTAGGGAGGGGTTGATCGCCTTTTGAAAGTATTTGTCTGCCTCTGTTGAACGAATCAGTGATCATCTTAGTGTGGGCACCTGGGTTTCAAGCATCTGTGAGTGAAGTTATGAATTACACTATGACAATTTTTTGAAAGCTTTTGCTGCCTTTCTTTTCTTTTAAAAGTTCTGTGATTTCTTTTTCTAGGATTGAACTGAAGTCAAAGAAAAAACATGGTTATTCATGTAACAAGGGAGTAGAGATTTTAAAAGTAAGCAGGGCAGGGTCTGAATGACTCTGTGCCAGCTGATATGTTGTTTTCTGATCCTCATTTAACACAGAATACACTAGAAAATGTGATGTGATTGGATGAATTATGCTGAAGGAACGTCCTCTTGTGTATCCTGGCACTGTTATTTTAACTGTGCAATCAATGTGTGCTATTAAATGCTTCTGTCTCACTCTCCAGAAGACAAGAACGCTCAGGAGTTGAAGGACTCACAGCAGCTTATCTTTAATCCAAGTGAATTTCCAAAATATTTAAGGCCCTGTAAACTCAGCGGTTTATGCATAGTGCACATAGTGCATGTGGTACATGGAGAGGATGCATACATGGCACCTATTACTGCCTACACAAATATTGGCAGTATTTGATTTTTTCTTAAACTAGATTTGAACATGACCATCTCTCAATGGTTTAAAATTACATTAACATATATCCACAGTGACACCAGACTGAGAACAACTGTCTGACATGGTACATTTGTTAACATAAGAAAATAAGAAGTTTCTTGATGGCTTTGGAGCTGAGAATTGGAACCACGTTCATGTTTCAGTAGAGGTGCACGTCAATATTGCCTAGTGTGGAGGGAAGAAGTCGGGATTAACAAAGAATAAATGTGAGCGTAACACAAAAAGAACCCAGGGGAATACTGTTGCAAGCTGATGTCAAGTCATCACGTTGTTGAAAGTTGTAAGCATTAGACATTTCAGCTCCAGGAGTGGTGACATGTTTAGGAAGATACAAGACTGCAAAAGGCAATAGGGGATTATAATGTTTGTTATTAACACAGTTCAGTACTTTGGAGGACAAATTAAGTCCACCAGAAGAAGGTCATCTAGAGTCTCTGAAAATCTCTGCCATTTGCTGTGCAGTGCCCTGTCCGGTGCAGGGCAGGGTGCCCTGGAATCATCTTATTTTCATTTCATTTTTTGTGTGTTTTCCCTCCCACAAGCTGTACATTCCCTTCAATTGCCATTTTTAAAACATCTAGCAATGTTTACAGAAGGTGCTATGTGATATACCAAAATACCAACACCCAAAAGCTGCAACACTGGAATGTAAAACTCTTGTTTTGGTGGCTAGCAACAATAGTCACCCAGAGCAGAGCGGGGAGGTGGCAGGAAGAGAGAACTTGCCTGTTGTTCGCACAGTCCCACGTATCATTTCCCATTTCTGTTGTTTCATGTGCATTTCCCCTGAAGTCAGTGAGGCTCACAGAATGATTTTCCAAGTAATCAGTTATTTATGAGATTTGTATAGTGTGCAGAGCCCTAAAATAAGATTTGTGTTAAGGACAACAGTGATTCATTGTGAAGAGATGTCTGTGATCCTATTTGCAACTGCTGACTAATGGAAAAATGAAGTTTATCCTTTTGGTTTAGAATTTGACTCAGAAGTCCTGGGTTACACTTTCTTTGGCCTGTTTATGGGACATACAGCATAAATTATTTTTGTGAGCTTAGTTGTCTTTTACCCTTTACTTACCCAAGTATCACATAGATAATGCAACTCCAAGCTAAATGTATAATAAGGAGATGTTGGGGTCCTACCCAGAGTTTACATCAGGTGTAGTGTGGTAACACTAGGTTGGGTGAATGTCTGATGTAGAGAACAGAATTAAGATCATAAGTGTGCTGACAAAGTCCATCTGCCTTTTAAAACTGTTAAAAGTTGCATGTTCTTGTGTGACTCTGTGTTGACTGAAGGAGTGCAGAGGGTAAATGGAGACACAGCATTAATCCCACATGGGAATCTAATCTAATTGCTCTTTCAGAGCTCCAGTAACTCTATAGTTTCTGAGCATCTCTCATATGACAAGGAATCTGCCTTCACAGTTTGCTTGCAAGATAGTGATGTGTTAC